CGACTGCTACTGGTACGCCACCAACCTAGCCATCTAGTAAGTCAGGCAGCGGCCACCCATGAGGGCATACACGGGCCGAAACCCGAACCATCCGCGACTACGCCACACAGATCCGTTCGACCCAACCAAGCGCCGTTGTGTCTGGCCTTTCTCTCTGTCCGTAAGCAAGGTGGTGCCTGGGCCCAAGGTAAATGCGTCACCTTAACCGAGTGTACTCTTTAGATATATACATTATATCTACTATATATCTTATATACACTTACACACTTTTGTAACTTCTCTTATTTATTGATATCTTTTTAAGATACATATTGTATATCTATTAACTGTGCACCAATAGTTCAGGTGTTTTATATATGTGTGTATATATATATACTATCTATATCAACATAGGTATCTATTAAATTACGTTCAACGAGCTTGGAGACGTGCACACGCAACAAAGAAACCAATAATGGGGAAACAGGAGACCAATTCAACAGTTTACTTATATGATATAGATTAGCTATATATATATTTATTAAGTGTGCTCGAAATTAGGCATCCCTTCGTCTAATAACGATACATATTACAATTGGTTTATTTTTCTGAATTTTATGTAGATATTCGTTTATTGTAAGTTACGTTTTCAAATAACTCTGTATTCTCACGTTCTTCACAAAATGGACGCTTTTCTACATGTTTTTTTGAATGAAAAAGAAACAACTTTTCTTTATGCAAGGCAATTTCTTTCTTTTTATTAGATTCAGCTTCCCTCTTCTCTTATGGGTTTATGTATAAAACAAAAGGGACATTTCAGTCATCAAACGTCATTGCAGATAATCCATTAAAAGAAAACAGTTTGGTGTGTAAACAGTCAGCGTGATTCCTATCGATGCGCTTTACCATGCACACACAGGATACAAGAATACGATCATACTTAGGATTTTCTAACACATCGAATAAGAATTTGTTTTGAAAAATTGGCTTATGGATGATTCCGAAGAAACAACATCAAGATGAAAAGACAAGAGTTTACCTACTATATGCACGTACAAGAGAGATACAAAAAGAGAGAGAGAGAGAGAGATAGAATCTACGACATAAAGCCGTACCTGGTTCCCACAAATACAAGAATAATCTCAACCATGAACATATACAGTGGATACCAAAGATTTTCTTTTCGTTATGGATGAAGAATTATGAAGAATAGATAAAAACTACTTTAACGAGATTATGAAGAATATATAAAAACTACTAAATCATGGAAAATATAATAAGGAAAGGATAACATCAAGAGGAATATAAATTTTCCAGAAGGAAGATCTTCGATGAGCATGACAATAGCAAACAAATGCCTTCTTCGCTATGTTGGTTACTTTCAAAAAGAAATAAGTGGAAAATGCTTTTATTTTCAGCATCGATTCAAATTTTTCAGCTGTGGTGTGGTGACGAACATAAAATATATGTTTTTCTCATTCTGTATTACACGAACTACGTTTACTTTTGTCAGCATTGAAATACAAGTTTTGCAATCTGAAAATTCTAAAGAAACCGAACATTTTTTCAGCAGTCATCTCTCATTGTTCACTGTTTGATTTCACGAGCAACTGTCTTTTTCTCTGCCTTATGCAGTTCCATCTTTTCAACGATCCATATAGTTTTTGATTGAACCATACAGTTTACAATTTTTCCCCCCGCTTTAAATAAATAATAACAGAGAAATTGATTTTAGAAACTTCCTTGTATGCAGTCAATAAATTTAGTAAAATCTTATTGTGAGCTGCTCTGCAGAAATTATATTCGATGATTCCATTCGTTAATCAAAATCAAAAGATTTCTTCCGTGTAACTTTCTGCAGGGTGGAGGTCTTCTGTAAAACAAATGGACTATACTTGTTTTAAAGATTGAATTGCATAAAAAGAAAGGTTGCATCAATCGTAGATACTAAATTCGAGCACATGTTTTCAAAGTATATTCTCCACATTGAAGAATATGGATAGACAGAAGACATAGCATGGTTTTTTTCAATGAGGATAAAGTTTTTGGTATATACTTCAGGACAGGGAGAATTCCTGTATTTAATACGTGTTAGGGGAACTATATAGTGGATGAAAGTGCACAGGATACATTTTAACTTCTGCGTAATCTTTAATATAGGAACACAAAACTTAGTCTTATTCATACGTGAATATCAATCGTATTTCATTATAGATACGTAAGATACGTATTGTTTCATCATTAATAATATACTAATTCGTCTTCTTGTGTGATGTTCAGGATTTGAAGGATTATATGAGACAAGCTGGCGAAGTGACATACGCAGATGCACACAAACAGCGCAGGAATGAAGGGTAAGTTACATATTTAAAAAATGTTTTATTTTATAATTATAGCCTTGTTATAGCGATATGATTTAATGTTACAGAGTTGTAGAATTTGCAACATACTCTGATTTGAAAAACGCAATCGATAAGTTAGATGACACAGAATTGAACGGACGTAGAATCAGACTCATTGAAGATAAGAGACGTGGGCGTCGCTCAAGATCCTCGAGTTCGAGATCAAGATCACGGTCACGATCTCGATCTCGTCGCCGATCCCGCTCCCGCTCAAGGTATTATCGTCGTTCTCGATCCCGATCAAGGTACTGTCGGGGGGCGGCAATGTCTCCATCATTTTTTACTTTAATACTAACCATATTTGTAGCATACTAGACTACTATTCTATATATATATTTCATGGTTCTCAAATTCTCAAATTATTTTACTCTTTAATGTTTGATCATACATTAGGTATGTTCTCAGTTCTCGTTGTGCATGATACAATTCATCTAGAATTAGTACAGTTGCAATTGATATGATGACAGTTACTGCAATAATCACATAACTTTTGAATACTATATTTTAAACATCATTGCAATATTTTTATTGTATCAGGAGTCGCCGTAGCTCTCGCAGCCGTAGTCGTCGCAGCAGTCGTTCCAAATCAAGGGCACATACTAAATCAAAATCAAAGTCCAAATCTAAATCTCCAGAACGTAGCCGAACCCGATCTAAATCCAAGTGAGTATCCGATTCTTTTTAGTATTTGTATTACATCACTTTCTGTTCTTAAAGCGTTTATTTATTTGCTTTATTTCTTGCGCAATTATCAATAAGTATATGTTACGTAAGTGTGTTTGCGTTTCATATGTATTTCACTTCCATTCTTTGGCATTGTGTTTGGGCTGGTTTTTCCCAAAACCTCTCACGACTTACTCATGTTTACATAAAATATATATCATTCCATTTTGAAAGAGAAATAAGTTTTATATTTTTAATCGTACTTTCCTGCATCCTCTTCATTTGAACTATAATTTTACAGATCAAGAGACCGCTCAAAGTCGAAATCTAAGTCAAAGTCCAAATCCAGATCTCGTTCTAGGTCCAAGGCTGAGAGGTCAAAGTCCAGGTCGCAGTCCAAATCCAAAGCCAAGTCTCCCTCAAAGTGAGTTTGATTGATATAATTAGCGCAAGAAAGGCAAATGTATAGTCGTTTCTCTAATACAGCTCTTCTTCCAGAGATAGATCTAGTCGCGAAAGGTCGAGAGGCGACAGATCAAGATCCCGATCGGGCAGCAAACATAGCAAAAGCCATAGCCGTTCTCGATCACCGATGAACGGTGACAAATCACCAGAAAGTAACAAGCAAAAAGCTGATTAAAGGATACGTGAAACAAGAAAAGAAAGGACTTTTATCTTGAGAAGAAAAATATTGGAGAAAAGAAGTTTCTTTTTCTTTTTTTTTGTTTCTTTTTTTTCTGTCTACGATTAAATACATTCAAGAAGCCAATTTTTCATGCTTTTGTTTTTAAGACATCGATTTTTTTGTGACATTACTACTACTTGTAATTAACATGTACATCGTTTTAAGGATAAGCGAAATTTCCAAAATCTTGTAAAATGTGAAACAGCGAAACAAAAAAGTGTGTATGTAATTAATGATCGACTTAAGCATAATTAAATAATTGTACATGATTTACTTAATCTAAACCAATCTGTACATTGGTTGCACGTAATTTTAACTGTACACTTACCATCTTTAAAAAAAACACCACTCGCATTTAGAAAAATAAGATGTCTTCATATGTACCTTCAATGGATTCTATACATTTTTTGATGTATCACCATATATCAAAGAATTTCCAATAATGGCTTTTTGTATATATTCCTAATTGTCACATTACAAACAAGTCAATTGTGATGTGTATTAAATTTAGTGGTAAGAGGTATCCGATTATCAATAAAATTTCACGCCAAACTTATCATGTTTTCTTTACTACTTAACTCGATCATCAAAAAATTTTGCATGTTTTATTATTTGTTAAAAAATTTAATGCTGATTTTATATATTAGAAATAGCATTAGTGAAGTTTCCATGGTAAACGTTTCTACAAATCTTATGTCATATGTTCAATATTCTGTCAATCTGTCAATGACGTCAAAATACTTAACTTTATAAAATACATGACTTCGTTGCCAATCTGGAAAATGAATTGAAGTTCAATGGTTTATAAATAAGTCGGATTAAAAGTTCGTGTTATCGAATGTCTGAACGCCGGGATTCTACATGTCAAAAACATGAATTACCAAAATCGTTACAAGGTACAGAGGATGCCGAATTTGTCTGGAGCATGATAATCGATAGATTTCCAAATGCTGCACCGCTTTTATGCGAAATGGAAACTGTTATCGATCGAGCCGAAGATCTTCTTCAGCAATTGCGAGCCCCTTGTCGTGAAATTGGTAGACCATATAAAAATCTTTCAACCACCAATGGTCATTTTTTTTAGGGCTATGAATAAATTTTCTTTTACTCAGTTTTCTTTCTATTTTTCTATCTATTTTCTGTTTTGTATCTAAATAACACATTACACGTCATTACATATTAATATTTTCAACACTAAGAAAAATTTTTTACATTTACAATTCTGTAGAGACATCTACCTCGTTTTTCACACAAGATTCAGAAGATACAACTGTAATGATTTCAGCCAGAGAATCGTTGATTACTGAAAGTGATGTAAGTATCAGAAATCCAGTATTACAGTTGGATTTTTGTAATTAAATATACATGCATCATAGACTGTAGAAGAGAGTGACATGAACAAGAACGTGGCTGAAATACAAGTTTCTGAAAGCAGTATCGACGAAGAGAATTTGAACGATCAAAGTCAAAATTTGATTATTGGGGAACAAAACACCGGAAGTCAATCTAGTAATTCACTCATGATGAACTCTTCCATTGCTCAGGAGTTTCTTAATGACAAATCTGCTTCTCTGAATATTACAACAAGTTTGCATAGCTTTATGTTTATTGATAAAGTAAAATTAACACATATATATCCTTCTTTCAGAAAATTTGATTGATTACTGATTATTTTCGTTTAGATACCAACCAACTGATAAAACAGGCACATAGTTTAGAAGAGTGGGGTAAAATAGCAGATAGTGCTATGGAAGAAAATTCTGGTACTAATTCAGCCGAGGTACAATCTGTTAAAGAAACAATTAATATGTTTGAAAAGAGAGCCAATTTTGAAGGAAATAAAATGGAAAATCATAATATAAATAGTAATTTCATTATGTACTTTCAATTTAGTTTTAGATGTCAACAATTCTATTGTATATCAGATGTATTTCAAAATTTAACATTTTTTAGAACACGAAGATTCTTGCATTATTCTGCATCGTCAAGAGATGTGTGTAGATATCGGTGATTCCGTCATGGAGATTAATTCTGATCGAAATATGAAAGGTCAAAAATTGATCGATACCAAAGATGACACGATGAATGTTTCAATTCAAGTAAAATATAATTATTCCCTTTCATGTACATATGTACAATTTATTATAGAATTATACATAGTGAACGATTTAAAATCAATTAAAGGGTAGTGGCGATGAGAGTTCATCGAAAATTAATAATCAACGAACTCCATTAAGCATTCTGGAGACGTATGCAAAACGTTGTAAAATACCAGTCGAATATGAGTATACGAGCGATTGTTCTCATCGTCATAAATCGAACACCTATGTGATACGTGGAAATCTCGCTGGATTTGCTGGTAAATAATTTAATAAATTCATTCAATACGTAAAATTGTGAAGATCCATTATTCTTTTTAAGTGCAGCCGATAATGTCTATAAAAGCTTTTGATTTTTAAATTTAAAGCATTTTATATTAATTGACAGCAACATGTAGAGGTTTAACCGAGGAATCAACCAAAAACGAGTTAGCCGCGAAAATTTTGCAAATGATTGCAAATCAACAAATGAAAGATGAAAAGCTCACTACGCTCGTCGAACTTACGGAGGAAGAGTATGTAACGTAAAAATCTGATTCTAATAGGTATTAATATTTCATTTGTCACTTGATTAATAAGTGAAATTTTATCTGACAGACTGATAGAAATAATTAGCCTAGGTATGGACGGTCTAAGAGAAACAGCTCAAAGGAAGTTGTATCAGCTTTGTCTTGAAAAAGAAGTTCCAGTTCCGAAGTACTCTGTGGAAAAAATAAAAACTTATCAGGGTTTAACTTACGTCGCTACTTGTTCTGCATTAGGCTACATCGCCGAAGGTTTAATTTACAAATTCAAATGACTATTCTCTTCAGCTTATTTTACATTTTTTCTGCGTCTTATTTATCCTTCTTTTTTTTTTTTTTTTTTTTTTTTAATTTTAAATAAATACAGGTCGCGGTGTGAGAGAATGCGTGGCAAAGAAAGCAGCCGCTGACGAGTTGTATCATCAGTATTGCAAAGGTCAGAAGGCAGGGTTGAAAGTAAGCTTCCTTAATATTCTCCAGTCATCCTAGGAAATCTTTTAAAAGTCGTTTCTTTCGCGTTCATGGTATCTTTGCAACGATCCAAGGCAGCTTGCCAGTTTTCTTGAAAGACCAGTAGTCATATAGCAATTTTCCAATTATTAAAAATATCAGAATTGCTAGAATAATGTTCAGAATATCCAACGGATGAATTACAGAATTTTCATCCGGAGAAACGCAAATCTCCGTGCGTCTCAAATCTCTTACCTTTGGAAAAAACATTTGAATTAAAACACATAAAACATATAAAACGAAGCATAATAACGCAGTTGAATAACTTACAATCCTATCAGAAATATCATCTCCATTTGTGGCCGAGCATCGTACGTCGTTAATATCTTTTATTAGACTCGTATACCTAACAAGGAGTTCCTGCAAATTAACCGAGCTTCAATAGATCTTTAAAATTCTTAAATATCAATCCACTATAACGCAGATGAATTTTTTACCTGAAATCCTGGTGTAAAAAGACAGTCGCATCGCCATGGATTTCTTCCAAGATATAAACTTACTGCGTTTCCATTGTGCTGTAATACATTTTGCAAAGCATACGTAGGCAACTGAAACGATGAACAGATAAGCTTATTTATTTGTCTCGTGTTAAAGCCATCGGATCTAATTAGATGCAAATTCTCTAATATTCTTGTTCCAGTAATAACATGTTCTCAACCGTCAAGAATATAAATACGAACATCTGTTAATTTATTTCCACGAAGACTGAGCAATCGGAAACGATCCATCCAACTGGATCCCTCCAATTGAACGATCGATTCGATTATATTATCATCCAAATACAGGTCTTCTACCCTTCTATACACAGGATTGGTCGTGAGTGGTCTCAAGTCCTTTATCTGTAGTAGAAATTCTATTTTTCTAGTCATCGACGAGTTCTTAATGTGTAAAAAGAAAGAAAAACTGCAAACCTTATTTCCAGTTAAATAAAGAGTGGTAGTATTCGCTGGTAAGAAACTTGGCATCTCGGTTAAGCCGCGATGACTGCAATTCACCGAAGCAAAAGCCATCAGTTGCTTCTGAATGTGCTTGCCTCCGTTACCAACCACATATACCAATTCACACTCGCAGACAGTCTTTGTACATTCCTCTATCAACGTCTGAAATAATAAATTTCTTAATACGAAGAAGTCTGCGAATAAAGCCAGAGTATAAAATTGATTACGTTAATTATTTCCACAACTGGAATCAATGCCCTGCCATCGTAAGGGACTGTACAACGTAAATGTTCTTTATCGGCAATTTTGTGGCCTAACGAATCCTTTCCTCTGTTCAGAATCCACTTCGTGTTTTCCGTACATTTCAAAGGATTACCTTCGCGAATAAATTTCTTATTTCGTTTACAAGTTAAATCTATAAGAAAAAAAAAAAAAAAAAAAAA